GAAACAGCCATCAGCCCCTCATTCTGGGACACCATTCAGGGCAAACCAGCCAGCCCCCACCCATGCACCAGGCCTCTATCCTATATACTAAAAGGGTAATATGCAAACTGACCCTAACAGCAGAAAGACTGGGAATGACTGGTCACTATGACACACACTGACCACCAGGGGGCAGACACTCAATGTAGGAGCTGCCCTCTGGTGGTCAGGGTGCTCCCACATGGAGGAGCTCTGCTCAGCCACAAGTCAGGCTGATGGCTGCCAGTACAGCGGTGGTGGTGGGAGCCTCCCCTGCCTCCTCAGCAGTGCTAAGGATATCCAACTGTAGCTTAGGTCTGCTCCCCGCTGGCAAGTGGACATCCCCCGATGGCTGCCGGGCTGCCAGAGGGATGTCTGATTGCCAGCTTAGGCCCAATCCCCCAGGGAGTGGGCCTAAGCCAGCAGGTGGTCATCCCCCGAGGTGTCCCAGACTGTGAAAGGGCACAGGCTGGGCTGAGGGACCTCCCCCTCCCCCCAGTGCATAAATTTTTGTGCACCGGGCCTCTAGTGTGTGTGTGTGTGTGTGTGTGTGTGTGTGTGTGTGTGTGTGTGTATATCAGTGTTGGAAAGCCAGCCATCCCCTATCTTTGCTCCTTACATTCTTAACTTGTAGCTCCCAATCTTTTAAAATGAAAACAAAGTAATAATAAGCACTTTCCAGATTGTTTTATAAAATGTACATCCAAAATAAGAGCAGGCTTAAAAATTAAATAAATTTTAATGACCAATCAAGTCTAGCTCTTATTTTTGCCTTTTGCTTTGAAAGGCAAACTTCAAAGGGAACTCTATATGCAGAAAGATGCCTGGCATCAGCAAATATGGGCTCTAGAAATACATGCATTTATTTTAAAGTTATAAATTAAGTAACTGCTGAGATTTTAAAAACTTAAAAACTAGACTAGTATATATTTATCCTATATTTGCATAAAGTCAAATGGATGTTTAGGCATGATACCACAGATCTTTTGGGAATTTTAAGTTTATAAAAAGTCTTTTACAAGAATTATTTATCTTCATGATGGCTTTTTTAGTAATGAGTACTTTAACCAAATGGCTAAGTCATTCAGATATTGGCTATTTTAACATTTATTATGAGGAACACACCCATTAACTGTTGAACTGCTGGGTCTGTTTTTCTGTCATGACCTTCAGCATAAAAATTTTAAATGAGATTAAAGTGAGGGAGGAACTACAGATCACTTTTTTTTTATTTGTTAAAAAGGGGCAGCATTGAATTGATAAGGATCAAAGGATCTCCTCTGAGGTATAAAATTAGTGTTCCTGAAAGAGGAAAACAGATTCCAATTTACTGTTTTTTAAGTGTATAATGCAATGATTTTATTTCTATTTATTTATTTTATTAAAAAAATTCAATGTTTCCATAATTGCAGGTGTCACCCTTTTCCCCACCCTTTGCCCACCTCTGCCCACCCCCTCCTCTCCCTCCCTTGGCCTTCACCAAACTATTCTCCATGGCCAGGGTGTCTTCCCATGCACCAAAAGGCCGCTGGTTCGATTCCTGGTCAGGGCATATGCCTGGGTTGTGGGCTCGATCCCCAGTATGGGGTGTGCAGGAGGCAACCAATTGATGTTTCGCTTTCACATCGGTCTTTCTCTTTCTCTCTCCCATTCTCCCTTCCTTTCTTTCTAAAAATCAATAAAAATATGTGTATATTTTTAAAAGGTGTATTTCAACTGAAAAAAGGTGCATTTCATCTGAAAGGAATGAATCACCTTTCCTTCATATTCTGAAAGTAGAGATATCCTGTAACATAGTTTATGAATACAGGCACACATGGAAACCACTTTAGTTTCTATTTTTGCAAGCTAGCTGGTACTAAGATATAAAGATCTTAAAAGAGCATAATTTAGAAGCTGCACAAATTTTTTAAATTTCAAGTCAGGAAACTAAATAAACAATAATGTTGCATGGCTGTATGAACAGTGCCCAGTTCAGCATTTTCTCAAGTATTATCTGGGAACAAAACTTCCTTGAAATGCTCTTTAAAAAAAATACACAAAAAGGTTTTCAAGGTCAGGTGAACCTGGGAAATGCTGCTCCATAGAGTCCTCTCAAGGAGCCATGAAAACCTTAATACACTGAAGGCTCTGACAAGTCCTGCAGGGCAGACCCTCTTTCACCATGATTTCACCCAGAGCTTCTGAAAAGTGAATTATCACAGAACATTTGTATCCTTCTAGTATCCACGTTCAGAAGAACTAATGATCCATTTAACACTGCAGGAAAGCTTATAAAAATAATTTGTAGTCTGAGCCCTGACTGGTTATCTCAGTGGTTAGTGTCTACCCCCAGACCAAAGGATCACAGATTTGCTTCCTGGTCAAGGGCATGTACCTGGGTTGCAGCTTTGATCCCTGGTCCAGGTCGGAGTGTGTGTGGGAGGCAACCAATCAATGTGTGTCTCTCACATCAATGTCTCTCTCTCTCTCTCTCTCTCTCTCTCTCTCTGTCTCTTTCTCCTTCCCTTCCACCATCTCTAAAAATCAATGGGGGAAAAAAATATCCTCAGGGGAGGGTTAACAAAACAAACATTTTTAAAGAAAAAACTTCTCAAAAGAAATAATACTAATTAATAATAATTTGTAGACTTAAAGAACACAGCTCAAAATTTACAGATTATCTTTACACAAATCCTGTAAAATAGCCAACTGATCTTTGGTTCAAAAAACTCAGCTGAACAGGTCTTACCTAAAAACGAAGTCAGATTTATCTATTTCAGCTCCGCAGAGAGACTTATTCAGAATCCCCCCGTTTCCAACCACTGCACACTGATTGTAAGGGCGCTCCACAAAAGGCTGCGACTAGCAAAAGAAGTGAAAACTACCATGAAACAGTTTTACCTTTGGAACCATAAACATTATCAGCTTAATTCAAGTAGCTTAATTCTTACGCATACTATGTAAAGAAGAACAAGAAAAAGAGTAGTACTACCATAACATGCTGATCAACCTAAGACTTACAATAAAAAATCTCCTAAACCTGTTCTTTTTCTGGAGAGAAATATACAGCTTATCACATACAATGTAATGTAATAATACACAACATATTTGTCTACAAAAATATAATGCAGCTTACATCACATAATTCAATAAAATGAGAATAGCAAAATCTCACATTGTGCCTTACCAGCAGGAACATTTTCAGCAAAAAAGAGCAAAAAGCAGTTGGAAAGTAGTGTAAAATCCTCTATTCTGGGAAATAAAATTAATAGCTAATTTAGCAACATTTCCTGTGCTTCTTAAATAGTTAGGCCTTCAGGCTCAGCGACGATGGGAGATTTATGCCTGCCATCTCCGCAAGTGACCAGCCACAGCATTTCAGGAAGGCCTGCTCACTCTGTACTCACATATTTCATACTAATTTCCCAGGCCTGAATCTTTTAAAATTTTTCCAAGGACCCAACTTGGGTGCCCCGAAAGACTCCCACTGTCACCAAATCCTCCCCAGTCTGAAGCATAACCTTTCAGTTCAACACTACGCTTTGCTGGTCACTTTCCCTGAAGGAATGGTGTGACCCTGACCAGCAGCAAGGGTGCCAGTCCCTATTCTGCAGTGACAGGGTCCTGACTCACTTTCTTATTTTCTTCAGAATTTGAGTGTGAGTCCTCAAGGCAGAGAGTGTGTTTATTACATGTCATTGTTCCTCAGCTTTCACTGCAGGCCTAGCACAGTGCAATGTGTGCAGCGACTTTTAAATAAGAGCTTGCTGGCCCAGTGTCCCACCTGGTGCAGCCCCCGCCCCCATCCCCCTCCTCCCCGCATTGAGCTGAAGCTCACTTGTGAGGAGCTTGTGAGCGCCAACTGGTAAATATTCAGGAATTGTGTGAGTGGGTTGTTAAGCCACTGGTAAGTTAAAATCGGCCATGGTGGGGGTGTTTACATCTCTACTAGTTACATCGGCAAGTGCTACAAGTCAGGGCACCCACTCCCCAAAGCCAGTTTACCAGCACTACTAGCAACACGCCAGGGGCCAATGTGGTCTGGGCAGCACAGCAGACCCTGAATCACTGTGAGGGCCATCTGTTCCCGCCGGTGCACCTGGGAGATGCCTCACAAGCAAAGAGCACTCTATTTCAGCGCTTCTAGGTTTGTCTTTAAAAATTAAACATCAGAAGGTGCTTATTAGGCAAGGCAACCAAGTGCATCCCTTGTTAAGGCATTTAGTCCACACAACAACAGTACAAGCATTTTACAGAGGGGAAGCTGGTGGCATGCGTTAAAGCTGGAAAGTGGCAGAGCTGGGATTCAAACCCAGGCAATCTGTGTCAGAGTCCCTGCTCTTAACCCATACACGTTACACAGCTCCTCACATTCAATGCCTAAAACACTTACATGCATGCCTTTTTTCTCTTTATATCCCCAATGCCTAGCAGATTGCCTGGCTTTTAAATGAACAGTTCCCAAATATCTCAGGGTATTTTAAGTCACTAAACTTCTAGCTCAAAATATTTTAGGACAGTGTTTACTAACCGGCATCACAAAAAATTCTGAATTTTATAGACAGAGTAGAATGCAAATATGCTCTTTATGCCACAATAGAAGAGATTGCTGAGGAAAGCATATCTCCAATTAAGCAGTCAAAATAACGTATGTTTTTCTCTGGCTGTTTGGTCAACTGGGGGAAAACATCCATATGCTTTGGGACCTCTGTGTTCAGGAAGAGTTTAAATAAATTACAAACATCAACATTCCCTAACTTACACCCCCAAGAAAATGCAAATTTGCCCAACTCCAGTGTCTGCACATTGCTCACTCTGGTTGAAAGCAACTTTGTTGTTTTCCTTTGCAAGTTACTTAGCAAAGTTTTTGGAGAAAGTAACTTCACCACATTTACTCAAAAGCAACTACTGAGATCTCTGTGTTGCCTGGCAGTTCTGAGCTGAGTGCAGCCGAGCAGAACTGAGCAGGGAAGACAGGCAGGAAGCAAGGTGAGAGAGAGGTCAGCTCCCCCAGGAGTCATAGCCATGGAACCCGGATGTTTAAACAACAGCAACACACCTGCTACCTAGCTTTGCAATTGTTACTGAATTGACTTCATAAATTTCTCCTCCCAATTTTAAAAAATCAGTTATATATTTGAAAAGTGAATGTTGCTAATTGCATACTGAATTATCCAGCCTCTGTCAAGTTATTTTTTTGAAGGTGCCAATTAGAAGTAAGAAATACCCCCTGTTCCTCTGTTCTGGTCAGTCTCAAGCAAAAAAAACAAAAAACAAAAAAACAAAAAACCCCCAAAACACACTAGCAAAAATTGCATGGGTGAAAGGATTGCTCCTTGGAGAACTCTCCCCAGCCTTCCAAGATAGGGAATATAAATATACTTTAGTTATTATCTTTTCAATTACTGGTGTTTCAGTGCTTCCAGAGGGTGTTGTAGAATGTTTTACGCATTATTTTTTGCCCTCCTTTTCTTCCAGAAAATGTGTAATATTTTTTCCTACTGTTTTCTGTTTATTTTCATTTATTCCCAGAAAATTATTTTTTTCAAATTGTAATAATTAAAAAAAATTGGAGCAATTTATATGACAAACAATAAATTAGCTGTAAGAAGTCAAAGGTTCAAAAAAATAATTGTAAGGATCTAATAGTCTATAGTTGGTAAATTACCTATATTAAGTGACCCCATTTAGATCATATTGACTTGCCCTAATTGCTTTTAACAAAATCAATTACAAAAGATTCGAAGAGCCCTAGCTGGTTTGGCTCAGGGATAGAGCAGCGGTTCTCAACCTGTGGGTCGAGACCCCTTTGGCGGTCGAAGGACCCTTTCACAGGGGTTGCCTAAGACCATCCTGCATATCAGATATTTACATTACGATTGATAACAGTAGCAACATTACAGTTATGAAGTAGCAACGAAAATAATTTTATGGTTGGGTCAACATGAGGAACTGTATTTAAAGGGCCAGAAGGTTGAGAACCACTGGGATAGAGCCTTGGCTTGTGGACTGAAGGGTCCCAGGTTCGATTCCAGTCAAGGGCACATGCCTGGGTTGCAGGCTTGATCCCCAGTAGGGGATGTGCAGGAGGCAGCCAATCAATGATTCTCTCTCATCACTGATGTTTCTCTCTCTCTCTCCCCCTCTCCCTTCTCTAAAATTCAATAAAAAAAAAAAAATAAGATTCGGAGAGTGTATGTTTCTAAGCAATGGGCTGTCCTTCCTGACAAAAATTTCCCCCAACTTTGGGTTTATATTAAGGGACTGATTTCTTTTTGTAATGATACTGTATCATTACTCACCAGTTAATTTAACACATATGTGATGAGTGCATATGTACTAGGGAGTGTTCTAGGAGCTTGGGATCCAGGAGTAAACACACAAGGCAAAAATCCATCTATGGGGGTTATGTCTACTGACCAATAATTCTTACGTATTTGCTTCCCAAAGATTAACCGCATAAACCTACAGTTCTTTGTAAAGGAATTGACTCAGTCACCCAAACTGACAACTGGAAGAAACTTGTTCCAGGTGAGAAATGGTCATCTTCCCAAGCCCCAGCGATTACCATGCAGAGAGCCCAAGTACCTCATCTCATTCAAGGATGAGTCATCAAGACTCAAGAAGTGGGAATGCTTATCTTTTAAGATATAAATTCCATCCCCTGCAGAACCAGCATGCATTCAAAATTGCCTTTTAAAGTGGACTACTATGCACATCTTATACAACAGAGTACGGCATTTTAATTCATTAACTCCTCCATTATCATAAATTATAACTAGAAGTGAGAGACAATTCACCTGGAACGATGACACAAATAAACCATAACAAATCTTTACTCACCACTGGAAACATATTAAAAATGCTCTTTCTAATTAGGATTGCATTTTTTCTTTCCACCTCGTAACTCATGTTAGTCCCGACTGGAGTGTTATTTTGAGAAACAATGAAGTTTTGCACAGCGTCACAACAGGAAGCAAGTTTTGCCCTGAAAAATATAACAATAAAAGGGAGCCATGGAATAAGATGGAGAAACCAAAAACAGAGACTTCCATGGGAAACGCAAACGAGGATTTTTTTTCCATTTTGACTTTCCAAACGAAATCATTCACAAAGATGACATTTTTATTTCATTTCATGCTAACTGGCCCTGGATGGTGAAATGGTGAGTTGGTGGGATAAAATAGCAAAGAAGGTCAATGATTTAAACATAAAAATTTCCTCCTAATGATAATGTTCTAACATTAAAGAGAAAAATAACAGAATACATTATAATTATTTTGTAATAATTATAAAGTGCAGAAACTAAATTAAGAACATTAAGCGCAGTTACAAATAGTCACCAAAGCAATATGCAATCATTTATTATGAGACAAATCCAATGAAAAGAATCATTACAGTGATTTTTTTCCAAGCTCTAGAGGCATAACTTATAAATACAAATTGTATTTAGAGTGTACAACTTTATATTTTGATATGCATATACATTGTGAAATAATCACCACAATCAAGCAAATTAATATATCCATCGCCTCACATAGTTATTATTTTTTCTTTTTTTGTGTGTGAACACTTAAGATATACCCATTAGCAAATTTCAAGTATACAATGTAGTATTGCTAATTATAGTTAACAATGCTATACACTAATACAGTGAATGTTTGTTAATATATATATATATATTTTTAATTTTTATTGACATCAGAGAGGAAGAGAGAGGGAGAGAGAGATAGAAACATCAATGATGAGAACGAATCATTGATTGGCTGCCTCCTGCACGCCTCATACTGGGGACCGAGCCCACAACCCTGGCACGTGCCCTTGACCAGAATCAAACCTGGGACCCTTCAGTCCAAAGGCTGACATGCTATCCACTGGACCAAACCAGCTAGGGCAATACAGTGAATTTTTAAATGAAGCAAAATTAAAGTTGCCATTCCTTATAGAAAACCCAGAAAAACCGTAACTCAGTACCAAGCTATCTTTCAAAACTCTTACTGTGGAATGAAACATCATTAGAATGAAGGCCCAGGAAGGTCTTTGCAGGGCTCATCAGAGTCTGCCCCCACCTTCGGGCTTGATGTTATGCTTATTTACATAATTCTCCAGGGACGTAGAACCCATACCATCTCTTGATAATTATCCCAGACTTTAATCAACCTTGAAGTCAAGAGATTATTCCATTTGAACAACCAAACTAGTACTTAACTCCATTTCCCTTGTTAGTTTTTCAGAGAATCTCCTCAGGAAAACACTTCATGTAATTGAAAATGGTAAGCAAGCAAAACCTGGGCCTTTTCAATCTTAAAGAGTCTTATAGAATTTCCTCTTCTCTCAGATTTTCCTTGGAGGAGTCGTTTTTCGTAAGTTTAGCCATCTTGCTCCTCTTTAAGCCTTTACTTATTTCTCCATATTATCTAAATATGAAAGCTGGATCCAATCATAGCACAGGGGACAGTGACTAATCAGTGAGCAGAGCTGACTATGGGCAATGCTGACACCCTAGATTCATTCTCCTTTTTCTGTTTTTTTGTCCTGAAAGGTATACTTTTGTACATGTCCCTACTGAATTTTGTCCCTTTGGAAAAATGCAACATTCTAATCTGCCATGGTCATTTTGAATTATAATCCAGGCTTCCTACATTCTAATAATTCTCATGGTATAAAAAGTCAGTTCCTGTGATATTAATTGTACCCAGAAATGAAGATTTTCAAAAATACTTCTTATGAGTTCTTTTTAAATAGTACATGCTTCTTAACTGAATCCTATCACCTGCTTATCATCCTTCTTTGTATTTCAGAACCTAGAGATCAGAAAAAGAAAAAAAAAACTTAAAATGAAATGATGTATAGTCAAAACATAATACTAAGTAGTTTTTAATTATAAATTTAATTTCATAAGCATTCATGTGCCATATTGCAACTCGGAAATCCTTATGTGTTTTATGATTTCACTTATATGTAAATGCAATCTAAAGGACAAAACAAATGAGTAAACACAACTGAAACAGACTCATAGATGCAGAGAACAGACTGATGGTTGCCAAGAGAGATGATGAAAAAGTTGAAAGGTTTAAGAAGTACAAATTGGGAGTCACCAATAGTCACGGGAATGAAAAGTATAACATAGGGAATATAGTCACTAATACTGTAATAACTATATGTATGGGGCCAGGTGAGTACTTCAGACATTGGGGAGATCACTTTATAAAGTATACTAGAGGCCCAGTGCACAAAATTCATGCACTGGGGGTGGGGGTCCCCTAAGCCCAGCCTGCACCCTCTCCAATCTGGGACCCCTTGGGGGATGTCTGACTACCGGTTTAGGCCCGATCCCAGGAATCGGGCCTAAACTGGCAGTCGGACATCCCTCTCACAATCCTGGACTACTGGCTCCTAATTGCTCACCTGCCTGCCTGCTTGATCGCCCCTAACTTCCCCCCCTGCAGGCCTGGTTGCCCCCAACGCCCCCCCCCACTGGCTTGGTTGCCCCTCATGGCCCCCCCGCCAGCCCGATTGACCCATGCAGCAGGCTTGTTCAGTCGTTTGGTCATCCCTCACGAACCCCCCCTGCCGGCCTGGCCGCCCCACACAGCCTGCTGCTCAGTCGTTTGATCATCCCTCACTAACCCCCCTGCTGGCCTGATCGTAGGTAGCCATCTTGTGAGGGCATGAAGGTTAATTTGCATATTATCTCTTTATTATATAGGATGATTGTCTTCCCACTATGCTATACACCTGAAACAAATACAGAATAATATTGAGTATAAACTATAATTGAAAAAAAGAAATCCTTATATGTTTATAATTTTAAATGTCTCTTTTAGGCTTCATTTTGAGAAAAGGTAATGGAATAAATTCTCATTTAGCTTTGACAAGTAATTTAATTTCTCTAATGATAGTGCTTAAAAGAATATTACATCACACACACACAAAACACAACCAGAGTACCCTTTGCGATTTTTAAATATTAATAGGTTTTATTCTGAAGTTATATTTTTAACATTGATTATAAAATTTTCAAAACTGCAGGAAAGTTGAAAGAATTGGACAATGAGCACTTGAATAATCACCAGCTACTCTCTACAGTTAACTTTTTACTCTATTTGTCTTATTGTGTATTTATCCGTTGTTGTAGGTATTATAATTTAAAGTAAATTTCAGGTATCAGTACACTTTACCCCTAAACACTTCAGCATGTATACTGTTATTTTGTTTATATTTTGGGGTAAAAGTTACATACAATAATATCATAAGTGTATTCAATGAATTTTGAGAGATGCATATACCCCTGCTACTCAATCACCTTTATCAAGATATAGAATACTACTAACCCCCAGATAATTCCCTCATACCCCTTCCCAGTCTATCTTCAGTCCTCCCCTATCTCAAAGCAACCACATTTGTGATTTTTTTAACCAAAGATTAGTTTTGTCTGTCTTAGAATCTATATAAACAGAATCATATAGTATGCATGCTTTTGAAAAAGACTTTTTCTCTCAGCATAAACTTTTTGCAATTTGTGCATATTGCTGCATGTATAAGTAGTCCATTTTATTGCTGAAGTAGTATTCCATTGCATGTATGTGTCAAGAGTTTGGGTTAACCATCTCCCTTGCACTTCTAAAGAAATCACTATCAAAAATCAAAGTTAAACACCTGATCACTCATATAACCTCCCAGAAAAAAAATAGTAGAATAATTATCCAAAATGTTATTTCTGAAGCCTGCTTTGTTTCACTAACCAATGGGACTTTTTGAGCCTTTATATTCAGTAGCAGAATTATAAATGTATGCTCTTTGTCACTTCCCAGCTCACCATGTGATAGAGATCCTTGTAAGAAACAGTGTTAGTATAAAGCTGAGCTGCTCATAACAAACAAAACAAAATAGAATTTTATGTCTATTATATCATTTACCATCACTCCCCAAAACAGTGGATTTTGATCACGGGTGATTAAATATGTTCACAACAATGGCATGGCAATTTCCCCTCTCTTGTGTGAAAAGAGCAGGAGACATTAAGAAATGAAGGACATGATAGTAACTAGATGTGATGGTTGATTTTATGTCAACTTGACAGGGCCAAGTCTATGCCAGATAGCTGGGTGCATCTGTGAGAGTATTTCTGGAAGAGATTAGCATTTGAATCAGTAAACTGAGTAAAGAAGATTGCCCTCACCAATGCAGTGAGCATCATCCAATCCATTGAGGGCCTCAATAGAATAAAAGGCAGAGGAGGGCAAACGTGCTCCCTACTTGAGCTAGGACATCCATGTTCTCCTGTCCTTGGTCACTGTGCTCCTTATTCTCAGATCTTCAGACTCAGACCAGGGCCATTGGCCCTCCAGTTATTGGGCCTTCAGACTCAGGCTGGACTTTATAGCATCAGCTTTCCTGGGTCTCCAGCTTGCAGATGGTAGATAATAGGACTTAGCCTCCATAATTACATGAGCCAACCCCTTATAATAAATTTATTTCTTTATACCTATACATATCCAAGTGGTTCTATTTTCCCATAAAACCCTAAGTAAGAGATATTGGAACAGAGAAGTGGGGGTGTTGCTGTAACAAATACCTAAAAACGTGGAAGTGGCTTTGCATCTGGGTAGTAAGTAGAGATTGGAAGTTTTATGTGCATGCTAGAAAAGGTCTAGATTGTCATGAAAAGAACTGTAAAGGCAATTCTGATGAGAGCTCAGAAAGAAAAGAGGCCTCTATCTTCTTGAAGAAAACCTAAGTGGTCCTGAGCAGAAAAAACACTGGTAGATATATGGGTGGCGGAGGCCATTCTGATGAGGTCTCACAGGAAAATGAGGAACACGTTATTGAACAATAGAGAAAATTCAGTCCTTGTTATAAAGTGGCAAAGAACTTGGCTGAATTGTAGTACAATTCTAGTGTTTTGTGGAAGGTGGAAGTTGTGAGCAATGAAATTGGATACTGGATTGGGGAGTTTCCAAGCAAAATGTTGAAGAAGTGACTTGC